AAGCAATATGAAAGCTGCGGTCGAGAGCAACAACTCTCACAGTTTCCTCCTGCCCTGCTTCCGGCATGATTGGAAATTTACAGACACAGCAGCGAGGTGCAAATTTCCTGAAATATAAATAAAATAGAATTATTATCACATAATTGTGTTACTCTGAAATACTGGTCTTATTTTGTCTTGGATTAAAATGTTTGCTATATATGCCAAGAACTGAAGGTGGGTCTCCTGCTTTGCCTCACCTATAGATTACTAAGGAAATCCCCAGTGAAGATAGCAATATTTATACTCTAGTAGCCTCAGATGAGAACAAAGGTTACCTCTGAGTTGCTTATAGCATAAAGAAGCATTTTAATTTGTTACAGTGTAAATAAAATTCCCAAGAAACTAGTTAAGCTAATTAAAATTTGAGGATGGCTGTCTTATGGGATGTTGCACTGTGTAATCTGGTAGATACTGACTGATATTTCAGAGGTGCTTACTGTCTCCACCATCAGGGCAATGATAGAGGCAGTAAACGCCTCTGAAACATCACTCAATTTCTACCAGACAATATTGTGCAACAAACCAAACTGTTTCACATTACTGCCACTAGACAGACCAAGAAAATCTGTCATCAATATCATGTAAGTTTTAATAGACATTTACTAATCAACATACCGGTGGAAGTCTTCTATGCAGTGAATTTGATTTGTAGCATCTACAGTAAATGGAATACCATCCAAACTTTTCCCACAAACGATACATGAGAAGCACTGTGGATGATATGGTTTCCCAGTGGCCCGGAGAATTCGATCCAGGATCGGCTTCATGCACACGGAACACTTCTCCAGGGTGTTCTGCAGAAGGAAATTCAATGCACCCTGAGAAAAGCCAGTATCTTACGAATCTTCCCATCAAGCAAGGAAGATCTACTGAATATCATTGTGGTGGGCATTTCTCTTCCATATCCAGGAGATTCTGAGTTCAAACCTGAACCCGGAGATGGCATATCCTGATGTATATTTTTGTGGTTTTCCTCAGTCCCTCCAGGCAAATGCCAAGATCATACCTTAAAACAAGACAGAACTGTTGCTTCCTTCCAAATATTTCTCAATTTTTCTTTCAAAATTATCCTGACAATCAGTGGTAACTATGCAATCAATTCATGAAATGCATGGAATTCCTCATAGACACAAACACATTGGAAATGGGCACATTTTTATCAGAGAACATTATAAAAGTCCACCAGCAATTGGAATGTTTTGAACAACAGTAACATCTAAGAAACAACATAGTCCTAAGTAAGATATGAGGTTTACACAGCGGTGAGTATGAAGATTTCTGTCTTCTGGGTTGTTGCGCTGTGTAGTCTGGTAGATGTTTATTACCAACGTTTCAGAGGTCATACTGCCTCCGTCATCAAGGCCCTGATGACGGAGGCAGTATGACCTCTGAAACATTGGTTAACATCGACCAGACTACACAGCGCAATAACCCAGAAGACAAAAATCTTCAACATAGTCCTAGTCATAGAAGAGACTAAGTCCCCATATAACCTTACGGATTACACATAAAAAGAATCCAAATTTGTATTTGGAACTGGAAGGTTTAAAAAAATAACCTGGCTATCCCTGCACAGCTATTAGTAATAGGCTCAACAATAAAGGGGTTAAAAAACATGCAATTAAGGCTAAAAATTTACACACCACAATCCTGTAAACTCGTATGTCATCTGTATCCACAAGCCTAATTTACAGCAATTATTGCACTAACCAGATAATCTTCCTCACAGTATGGCTTCCCTTCTAGTGCATAGAAAGGTTTCCCCTGAAGCTGAATGGCACAGTGCTGACATGTGAAACAGGAGATGTGATACACCTGGTCCATGGCAGTGCAGCCTGAACCTTCTCCCACTACACGTTCACCACATGCTGTACACACCCCTAAAATATCAGAGCATCCAAATCACAATCCAAAAGTAAAACTGAGAAGGCAAAACAGATGAGGACATCAAGGTAGATACATATACACATGTATCTTCCGTGAAGATGCAGGTGTCATGTTCCCTTGTAGCCACCTAAAAGAAAACACATTGTCACAACCCATAAGACCACGTCTAACATTAAATCAGAGATTATGACATCCATTCAATTTTACTATCTCATAAAGCGTTAATTTCATTTATGTAAATAAACACTTTCAGGCATTCCTTAACTTGAAATGGTGACATGCTTAGAGCCCTTTTGTATGAAAATTTGACATACATAGTTTAAATATCCTCATACCATATAAATCAGAATCTGCAGATCCATCCATTGATTGAACCAGGAGGTCAGTCAGAGCATCAACCTCTGCTTCCTTTCCCCCACTTGGAGGCTGTGTACTTCCAGATGAGGATTTGTTCTGAGATCCACTAACGTATGGTGCATATAGGGAGTAGTTAGATCGAGAAGACATCTGACTGGGTGGTCTTGGATTGATGGGTTCATAGATTGATTCATATGTGGAACTCTATACAGATAAAATATATTACAGTAAAAAGCACTCCTTACTCCCTCAGTATTAAACAATGTGTTCTGTATGTCATGGCTTTATATCATAAGTTTCCGCCCATATACTCAAGAATGTTAGCAATACCATTAACTTTGAGTGTCCTTTGCATGACTGATTTTGAAGATACGAGGGGCGTATACAAATGATTTAGACTAACCTGAATTATGTGATCCTTGATGGTGGTGGCTCCCATTTTACACTTCAGCCCGTTCCACATATTCTCCCTGGAGGTCGATGCACCATTGCCATCTCTCTGGCAAATTCCATATTGCCTCACGAAACCATTGTTTTGGGGTATCTCGTACCCACTCCCTGACAGCATCATGTAAGGCGTCACTATCGGGGAATTGAACACACTTGCACGTATAGTCACTAGGGTTCACCGTGCTCCCACACCCGCCCTATTACCCCCAACCTGGCACCCAATGACTATGCCCTCTTCCGTGGGATGAAGAATCCCCTGCGTGGTCACCAATTTCCCAATAGTGACGTCTTACATGATGCTGTCAGGGAGTGAGTACGAGACACCCCCAAACAATGGTTTCGTGAGGCAATACAGAATTTGCCAGAGAGATGGCAATGGTGCATCGACCTCCAGGGAGAATATGTGGAAAGGGCCGAAGTGTAAAATGGGAGCCACCACCATCAAGGATCACATAATTCAGGTTAGTCTAAATCATTTGTATACGCCCCTCGTATTTGTCTTTAATGTAGTTGAACAGCACACTAAATTCATTCCAAGAAAATACACAGAAGAAAATTAAAAAGTTACTTTTAAAATTCAGTTAACAGACTTTTTGCAAAACACAAAAGTGTAGTGACATGTCAATTGCTAGGCCAGTACTCCTCTAATAGTGCCATGACTTAGTGTGCAACACTTCATTAGATAAGGCAGCTAATCCAGAGCCATCAGCCTGATCTGAATTTGTTAATATAAAGTTGTCTTGAAGGTATACCTGTGACGAGGGTCCATAGGTGCCATATTCTGGTTGATAATTGGGTTGGTACGTGGCTCGTCGAAGTTCCGAATAACTTGAGCTGACAGGTGATGGCGGTGGAGGAAGGTCATCTGGAGGAGGAGGAAAGTTTGGAGCTGGGCACTGGTTACTGTATTCAGCAGGTTCTGGTGGGGGTGGGGGTAGATCCTCCAGAGCTCCTGTAAGAGACAAATACATATCACATTTATCTTGGAGAAAATTCTGATGAAGTGTACGTAAAAACACATAACCAAAAATTAAAAAATCAAGAGTGATAATTGGTAAAACATCTAAAATTTTATCAATCTTACTGGAATTTAACAATTACTTTTTATCTGCAAAGGTTGTACAGCAGAAAATGAGAGGAAAACAGGGAATTATGTATAACTGGTAGTGATGTATGTTATGGCATTATCTCAGCATTTACATCAAAGGGGTCTGAACAGTTAGCCCCTAATCAGAGAATTAAGCCTGAGAGCTATTGAATACAAAGCAAAACTGCAAACTATTGAACCACAGAGAACAAAATATTTACAATTTTGAGAATATTACAGTTTTGTTTTATAAAACATCTATGAAAAATTAAGTGCAACATTCAAGAGACAATATCTCAAGAATAGTATTGTATTAAATGACAGTTTTTAAGACAATACAAACACAAGCTGTGGCTCAGGAAATCAATTCAGAGCACATTTCATGTTCTTGGGGGGAAATAAAGATTTGCAGCTGGAAACAACTACATTTTCACTGGAAGCAATGATCAATAAAGTGTAAGATTTGAGGTTTTCACAGCGGTGAGTATGAAGATTTCTGTCTTCTGGGTTGTTGCGCTGTGTAGACTGGTCGATGTTAACCAACGTTTCAGAGGTCATACTGCCTCTGTCATCAGGGTGATGAATAAGCCAATAGGGTGTGTGGGGCTAGGTTTATAGGTGCCGGAATGTGAATGGTGTAGCCTGCCCTGAGCCAATGGGAGCAGGCGTGGGAGTGGACCAATAGGAGTGCGTGGGTGAGTGTGAGAGAAAGTAAAGAGAGAAAGTGGGAGTTCGGTTGAATGGATCAGGGCCCTGAAAAGGGCCATGTTAGTGGTCTGGTTGTTTCTGGCAGTGCACTCTTGCTCGCTCTCGGAGTCCTTGAAGAGTGAGAATAAGAGGCTTCCAGGACCGGCTCAGGTGAAGTCCATTCTCTCTGTTGAAGTTATCGGGATGTAATTCGATCTCGATGGCTTCTCTGATTATCCGATCCATGTAGCTGGTTTTTGAGGAGAGGATAGAAGTGTCCCCAAGCTGTGTGCGGATCAGGGAGCACGAGCGTCACATCCAGCTTGGGCACCCCGAAAAATCTGCGGTTGCTGAACATCGCTTCGAGGACTCCGAGAGCGAGCAAGAGTGCACTGCCAGAAACAACCAGACCACTAACATGGCCCCTTTTCAGGGCCCCGATCCATTTAACTGAACTCCCACTTTCTCTCTTTACTTTCTCTCCCTCTCTCACACTCACCCACGCGCTCCTATTGGTCCACTCCCACACCTGTTCCCATTGGCTCGGGGCAGGCTACACCATTCACATTCCGGCACCTATAAACCTAGCCCCACACACCCTATTGGCTTATTCATCGCCCTGATGACAGAGGCAGTATAACCTCTGAAACGTTGGTTAACATCGACCAATCTACACAGCGCAACAACCCAGAAGCAGAAATCTTCATCAATAAAGTGATACCAAAACAACTATAATGAAACCTAAAAGAAACAAGACATTTGGAAAGATGGTGTGAGGTCATATCACACTTCTAACCCAACCATGAATGAATGAATGAATGAATGAATGAATGGATGAATGAATAAGGCATTCAATGAACACTGAAGTTCAGTTAGTTAGCATATCTGGTTTTATCAGCAATCTGTGGCATTCTACTACAGTGAAACCTCTACCCATCGTTCCCCGAACTATCGTTTTCCCAGACGCATCGTCCGTTTTGTTCGGTCCCAGATACATCCCATATAAAATAATGTTACATTTTCCCGCTTCTATCGTTCCTCGAACTATCGTTTTATCACATCAATCGTTCAAAAATCTTAGTCCTGGCCCACAATTTTCCCGCAATGATCGTTTCTGAGAAATTAAAATGCTGGGTTTTGAGATAAATTAATACCGAAAGACGCACAATGTTTTTGGAATACTCAGTAGCCCAACCAGCACAGATTCTTTTGGAATGAGGGGTCAGCGTGCAGGGGTGATAGTTGGAGTGAATGGCAGTGCTTATTGTCAGAAATTTTATGAGTTTAATTAGGGTGCACTCATATTTCGTTCCAGCGATGCCAGATGGCATGCGCAGTGTAAATTTCTTCACAAATGCTTTTATTACAAGTACAAAGGAAAGGCGGGTGACACTTTTCATTCTTCTCGTTTCCAGTGGTTCAGTGTCTTCTACAGCTACATTTTGTTGAGTTCGGCAGTAATAGTATTTCCATTCTTTCTGTTATTGTTCGCGAGGGGTGGGAGTGGTGAGGAAGAGGAAGACGACGAATGCGAGCCAGAAGCTGTGCCAGAGTTTTGACGAAGCACATGCTGCAGTGGCAAAAGTGAAGTCGTTCTTTTATGCGCATAATATTAGTGAACATGACGAGGAAAACATTTTTAAAGTGGAAAGGGCTCTGTTTGGCATAAAACGTAAAGTTTCAACAAACCAGTTGTCCATTAAAGACTTTTTTGATAAAAAGAAGTAACTTTGAAAGAGAAACATTCAGTTTAAATTTTTAATACTTTCCCGCAACTATCGTTTTCCCGTATTCATCGTTTTTGTTTCCCACCCCCACCAAAAACGATGCATCGAGGTTTCACTGTATAAAGGCATACAGCACTTGGTACCTCAGTGGGGTCCATGTCTCAATACTTATGATGACGGTGTGACTGGTCTGGACAGATCTGTGGTTAACTACCCTTGGGCAAATTTGTACTGAACCTCTGCTGAATAATCTTATAGCATACTCAAACACACAAGAGTATCAATACTTACCAATGCTACTAGTGGAATTGAATGCTCCAACATTACTGTACGTGTTGCTGAGTTCATTATTAGCATGGTTTCCAATATTGCTATAGATGAGGTGAGGTTCACTGCTGCCAGTGTTGCCACCTGGTGGTTGAATGTTGCTATATGTTGCAGTTGATGACATAGCACTAACAGAATGATTCACAGCTCCTATAAAAATCAATATTATGAAACTACTTTCAGATAAATTTTAGTTTTCAGATACTAATGGAAAAACTAACAAACCAAGTACAGTGAGATTTTTCCCACTGCCCCAGCAAATCATGAGACAACTGTCCTGAAGTTAGTATATGCATTATGGAACTGCTGAATCCTAGACTCCAAGTCCTGTACTTGGCCTGTATGATAAGAAGGCATTCACTCGACTGTGTCATTTCCTGTGTCAAAATGACAGTGCGACATACATATTCATTTCTGATTTATTAATTTTGATATTACCTTTATGTAAATACCTCCTAGGCAGTCTGTTACCTTGATGTTTTCTAACCCAGGTTTTCTTGTGAATT